TATATAATGTATATAATGTATAAATAATGTATAAATTTATAATAATTATTTACATTTATACTAATTTTACATAACTAAATATATTTTGTTATGATATATGAGATATATACGTTTTTCTTTGGAAAATTCGTATAAATATATCGTACCGCGATATTTGCTAGTACAAATCCACGAGGTCTTTCCTGTATTTCATCGGGTCGCCCTTCGTGACCCACGTGATATAAGTCTAGCCTATCGTAGGCCAGGTTGTATGCGCGGTCTAGTATTGCGCATACACAATCGCCATGTATCCTTACGCTACCAATTACAAGCGTAGTGGCCGGTTGCTACTGCGTGCGCAACTATGGGCCGTATCGGAAGTTCGATACACTTGTTCAAATATCGATACAAAATATCGATACTAGAGTCCAAAAATATCAATATTTTGAAATATCGATACGGTAATATCGCCCATCCCTATGTGGCAGTGACCATTTTCCCATCATCCTTTCCATAGATGTATTCATTTCATCTAGAGTTATTTTTAGAAAGGCGCCTAGATTATGGGTACGTTCCAGAAGCACGCTTTTAGCGCTATGAGCATGCTTTGTCCTTGTTCAACTTTCCATAAATAACAAAGATAGAACACGCTTTCAGCACGTAAGCGTGCTTTTGGAACGCAGCCTATATAATATCGATGATACTTCGTATATCATATCAACGGGATAGAGAAATAGCACGATTGTCAATCCTTGTTTGACATTATTTTGTTAATGCAATTTACAAAAAAAAGACAAATACAAAAGTTATTTATTTATTAATTATAATATAATAGTGAATAATAAATAGCATTAAAAATATATTGATATATATAATGTATAAATAATGTATAAATTTATAATAATTATTTACATTTATACTAATTTTACATAACTAAATATATTTTGTTATGATATATGAGATATATACGTTTTTCTTTGGAAAATTCGTATAAATATATCGTACCGCGATATTTGCTAGTACAAATCCACGAGGTCTTTCCTGTATTTCATCGGGTCGCCCTTCGTGACCCACGTGATATAAGTCTAGCCTATCGTAGGCCAGGTTGTATGCGCGGTCTAGTATTGCGCATACACAATCGCCATGTATCCTTACGCTACCAATTACAAGCGTAGTGGCCGGTTGCTACTGCGTGCGCAACTATGGGCCGTATCGGAAGTTCGATACACTTGTTCAAATATCGATACAAAATATCGATACTAGAGTCCAAAAATATCAATATTTTGAAATATCGATACGGTAATATCGCCCATCCCTATGTGGCAGTGACCATTTTCCCATCATCCTTTCCATAGATGTATTCATTTCATCTAGAGTTATTTTTAGAAAGGCGCCTAGATTATGGGTACGTTCCAGAAGCACGCTTTTAGCGCTATGAGCATGCTTTGTCCTTGTTCAATTTTCCGTAAATAACAAAGATAGAACGACGCTTTCAGCGCGTAAGCGTGCTTTCAGAACGCAGCCTATATTCCGTTAAGACGGATTGGAACTTCTTTCGTAGCAAATTGGTGGAGCGTATTGAAGAACTTGGTGGAGAAGAATTTGAACGAATGGAGGCTATAGTGAAATATTTATCTCTTATTCCATTAATTACTGACGCTATTGAGGAGGCCACTCATGGTCGTGCTCTGAAACAAGACAAGGGAATTCATCACTTGTCAGATAGCCATCCCACTTTCAAAAAGAAGATTGGAGTTCCTTGTCCATGGTGGGATTCGAAATGTGACAAACTGGTTAGACTTAGGAGAGCGGCGTTTATAAAATTTAAATTTTCAAAGAAAAAAGAGGATATGATTAAGTACAAAATCATGCTGACTAAAACTAGAATTTTAAAAATATGAAAAGAGAAAAATTCAAAGAATTCTGTGAAGGTTTGAGAAAGGAATTTAACCCTTCGTATATTTGGAAGAAAATCAAACAGTTTAAAAATCATAAATTATGCTCAGATTTCTCTAATCAATATAACGAAGACAGTTTTATCTTAATTAGAAAACTTATCTCGGAACTATGCCCTCCCTGGGCGCCCTTGCCGATATCCGACTTTTCTAATTCCATCTCGGAACAGGACGCCGCGATTTTCTTGATCTCCCCTTTTCGGTATCGGAATTTAAAGTGGCAATGAACGGTTTAAGATTAAAATCTAGCCCTGGTCTCGATTGTATCAACTATAAAATTCTAAGTGCGCTTCCAGATATCGCTAAAGAATTGCTTCTAAAAATTTTTAATGAATTTTTTTTCTTCTAGAATCTTTCCGGACGATTGCAGGAAATATATATTGTTCTTCATTCCCAAATCGGATAAGAAAAAATATAGACCAACATCCTTAATTTTACAAATGCATCATGCATTTGTAAAATATTCGAAAGATTAATTTGCAATCGTATGACATGGTGGTTAGAATAAAAGGAATTATTGCCGAAATCGCAATTCGGCTTTAGGAGAAACAAGGGATGTATGGACAATCTCTCGATCCTTCATTCGGAGGTTTTTAGAGCATTCTCCCTTAATCAATCCACTATAGCAGCTTTCCTTGATATCCACCTATGATAATGTCTTATGCGATGTTTTGCTTGAACAATTATCTCATCTGGGCATCTCCAGAAATGTGTTAGCTTACATTGTATTTCTTACCCATGCCAGACAGGTTTACTGCAGATTTGAGGAGATTGATGAGGTTCTCTAGATGTATAAAGGTCTTCCTCAGGGAAATGTCCTCTCTCCTCTATTATATGCTATCTATGTCAGAAAGTTAGAAGAAGAAATTCCTCAGAATTGTCATGTCATCTAATATGCGGATGACATTGTACTATTTTCTAGTGATGCATCTAAGTTTTCGGGACTAAAAAATGTAGAATCCGCCATACTAAAAATTATCCCCTTGCTTTATGAATTGGGATTGGAGTTGTCGGTTGAAAAAACTAAATTATGCATTTTCAGAAAGGAGAGATCACCACTTCCCGATAGATACCTAAATATTAAGATTAATAATGAAACAATTTGTCGCTCATCCAAAATCTGTTTCTTGGGTAATTTTTTTACATGAATCTCTTAAATGGGACTTACAAGTCAATAAAATTGTCAAAAATTGTTATAATCCTCTAAAAATTATTAGCTGCCTTAGAAGAACTTGGTGGGGAGCTGATCCTAATTTACTAAAAAATCTATACATAGCTTTAATTAGATCTAGGCTTGACTATGGCTGTTTTTTTTTCAGGATATGAAACTTTCACAGAGAATTAAGCTCGACAGAATCCAATTCACTTAGGCTCGTTCTGGTTTTCAGATTATGTACACCTACCAACGTCATTCTCGCGGAATGTGAGGAACCTCCTCTCTATCTTAGAGCACAATACCTGTGTAAAAACTTTGTCACAAAGGCTTTTGCTCAAGTAGATCATCTTTTGATACAAATCTTGGAGAAGATTGTAGAAATCCGAGAATCCCCGACACAAATTAATCGTCTAGAAGAACCGCTTCTTGTTAAATGCTTTAAACAGATTGAGTCTAAAGCCCACTTAATAGAGAGCGACCGTAAACCCTTCTACCATACTAAAAATTTCCTTTCGTTGGGATACAAACCTGTAGATTTGATTTCAGGATACGATTTACAAGAATCCAAAAGCTCGGACAGCGACTTTAATAGAATTTTTGAAAAGAACCTTTTTGACTCTTTAGGTATTTTTACAGATAGATCTAAAATAGCAGGCGAAAGATTCGTTGGTTTCTGCAGATGGATCCATAAATTTTCTATCATATTTAGGTCGTCAAGCATAGTGCCAATCTTCATTGCGAAGGCTATGACAATTTTGGAAGCCCTTAGATCGCCAAATATTCAAAAAGCTAATACAATAACTATTGGGTTGAACGGAAAATTCGTGCCGTTTTTTTATCTCTTAGTAAAAAACGGAACGAACTTTCCGTTTAACCCAATATATTCTCTGACTCTAAATCGGTTTTGTCAGCAATTACCTCAAAGTGTTCTCTAAATTATCCCGTGTTAAATCATTCCATTTAGTTCTCTTCATTAAAGATGAAATTAGAAAATTGGAGAACCAAGAAAAAATAATAAAGCTTATTTGGATTTCTAGTCATCGAGAAATTACAGGCAATGAACTAGCGGATTCTCGAGCAAAAGATGAGACGATTAGAATTGTGAGAGATTCCCAGATTGGACTTCCTCCCAGAGACTTCAAGAAACATTGGCAAGACCTTTTATATCAAGAATTTAAAGACTGGTCTCTCCTTATAGGGGAATCTAAGGGCTCCTTTTACACAAAAAATTATCTAAATCTTCGAAGAAAACCTTGGTTCCATAAACGGCTGTTAAACAGGAAAACGATAGTATCCCATACGGCACTGAAAGATTGCAAAAAGATTGCAGAAATATCGTAATATAGTAATATTGTAAAATGATTGCGCAATGTAGTTGCAACATGGATGCAATGTCACAGCAACGTAAAAATGTTCGCCATTAGCAAGATTGCGCTGTAATATTATAGTCATTTTGCGATGTTTCAATGTCCGCAATCATTTCAAATGCAACCTTGCTAAAAGATTTCAGCAATATTTCGGTAATACCTGAAGCGTATTAAATTCGATTTGACTATTTTCAATCGGTTTTAATACCGCATTTTCGGTGCAGAAATCCCGATCGATTCGGATTACATTTTTTTAAATCCGTTTTAATCGACCATTTTCGGCAGGGCGAATCAGTGAAAATCGTGTTCGTTATTATCTGCTTAAAATATAAAACAGAAATTAACTTCCATATAAATAAAATCTTTTATTTTATAAATTAAATTTTCCTACATATATATTAAATTAAATATATTTATATGTTATTAATACAAACGTCAGAAAATGTCCCGTAAGTGACATATCGACTATTGACGTCATTTTCGGCTCTCATGAGACCTAATTTAGGACGTCTATAATTGGTCATTTTGTGACCAAAATTTAACATTTTTTGTCTCAATAAAACAAATATATTATATACATTGTATATTTCATTTATTATGTAAGTGAAACGAGCAATATAAATTAATGAAGCATTTAAATGCTGCTATTCCATATGACAACAGATCCTGCTCAATTTCTTCCGCCAATCTGACATCAAACTGCGTTGTGCAGATCCTGCTCGGTTTCTGCCGCCAATCTGGCATCTAACTGCGTTGCGCAGATCCTGCTCGATTTCTGCCGTCAATTTGCTGTCGGCTTATGTCAACAGGTTTTCTGCCGGCAGAACATAAGCTGAATGCGGACGCAGTTGATGCCAATCTGCTGCAATATTCTGCTTGAATCTGCTCGCAAACTGTTGGTAGGTTGCTAACATTTTGCTTACTGGGATACTGGGTATTATATTATATTGCTGATAGTGTTATCAATAATGTTAGTATAGACTTTTAAGGTATATTATATAATAACTATATATGTTGTTTTTAAGAAGAATTTTAAGATTGTTATTATAGGTATTTAAATTAAATACTGTATGTACTAAGGCACACAAGGCCTAATGGCCGACGCTCTGGACGCATGCGCCATATTAATAAAAAAAATTAATAAATAAAAAAAAAACGGGCCGTTGCGACTCTCAATAAGCTTCTCTCTGCTGAAGACCTGAAGAAACCCTAATAAGAGGTGAGTCAAAATAAGCCGGCCCTCAACAGGTAAAAAACTTTTACTTTCCAAATCTTTCTTTTTACGCAAAAATATATATTAAATAAGTATATTTTTATCAAAATTTAAGGTGAACAAATCAAACTAAACATTTATCTAAAAGTACCATCTTTAACGCTTAATTATTCTTTTTAGAATATCTAGTGGCAATTTTTATTTTTCAAATCTTTCTTTTCATGCAGAAATATATTAAATGTATGTGTGAGTATATTTTTATCAAAATTTAAGATAGCAGGTCAAACTAAACATTTACACTACATAACAGGATATTAAACATATGTTATGAACAATTGGAGTATTTAGAATCGTCGTGTTTCCCAGTTTATTACTAATAGTATTATGTGTTAAATATAAAAGCACAACAAACAATAAGAAGTACTCTTCACTACATTCTAGCTTCCTATGGTATATATGGTTTCGTGCATTAGTGCCCTACCTTGCAATAACGGATAATCATATCACGCTCTCAAAAAAAAAAAACAATCGTTATAGAATTATTTTCAGAGACAGTGAAAAACATGATAACATTAACTTAAATCTCTCGAACTTAAATAATTATATCTATTCACAACCTTATAAGAAAATCGCTCAATATATTTGTCCCCTTCTTACATGAACACGACGTAATTATTGTTAATATTTGTGTTGACAAATTGTTCGGGATTCGAGATTAAATATATTCATATTTATATATCTAGATATTACGCATATAATATATAGTTTTCAACATGAAAGCCGACAACTTCAAAACATAATTTTCTTCATAAATTCTTCGACATTTATGCTTGAAGACTTACTATCTCTACGTATACAATTTTCTAACATGATCTATATTATATACTCTGTCCGATGAGAGAATGACCTCGAGTCGGACGAAAACTCGTCTGTTTCGCGCAGGTTTCCACCCACGGAAGCCGTATCTACGTATACGGTATTGAGTACCTCGCTATGTTCTCCCCACTTTGCCTGTCTATGCGCAGACCGAGGTTATTCTCTCTCTGGACGGAGTATAGCTATCTAACATTTTTTCTTATTCAATATAGAACAGAGACGAGTACATTTGATGTCGCTCGTGAATAAAAACATTATAAATCGTCGAATCATAAAGAATTTCATGTTGCTGTAACATACATCTATTAACATCCCACACAGTATGCATATTCAAAAGATGTTCAGAGGACATTCCGAAAATGTCCTATCGCCTAAAGATATCTTTGGAATGTCTTCTAGACATCTTTTTGATATGTATGCTATGTGGAATGTATCACCATGTAATATCTTCCTATGCATATTGGTATAAGATTATTCTGTCAACGATTTGATCCCAAGAAGTAATTCGAGATTAGGCCTGAAACTTGTGTATTATATACTATAAAAATTCGGATCATTGCAATCGTTTGTTTCGGAATGTTTAATGCCACAAGATAAAAAAAGAATTGTTTGATTTTTTTGCTGTGATTTGTATCATCATGGGTATAGAACAGTTTGTACTTTCATACTCTGCCTAAGAGAAAAATTGTGTACCTCGAGGGTATGCTACACAATCAAAGTTATATCAAATTTACAAAGGATATGAAAGCTTCATCAAACATTTGTCCAATAGTATCTACAATTATTGCTATAAAGTAAAATACAAGATTTTCTCTAACGTTACCCTGAATAGATATATACATTGTTGAGCATGGTCCTTGGTAAATTATACAATACAATTCCGTCCAGACGAATCGATCATTAGACAAAAAAAAAAAAGCTTCAATGTATTGTCATATTTTTTCATTGTGTATATGCGTGTGTCATAATTCATAAGAATATAAAAAAATTATATACAGTAAAAGTTATACATTTAAATGTAAAGTTCTGTTTTCTGTTTCTATTTTCTGCAGTTTGCTTGCCCTAATTACTATCACTATTATGTGTCAAATAATGTGCGTGAAAAGAAAGCTCATGATAGATGCAGAGGAGGAGAATCACTATTGAATTATTTGGCGGAATATTTCGATGTGTTTAAAGAAACGCTGGATGAATGAAGCCGCCGCGATGGCGCTGGGCTAGCCGGAGCCGATGGAGATGGTCCAGTGGGCGTCGTCGGCTTGGAACCTCTTCTGCTTCGTCTCAAAGTCGAATACGGGCTAGTGCCTCGATTAACGTGCTCGTGTGCGTAAAGTAGCACTCCGATGTCCCGGTTACCCGCCTCGAGAGCGATCTTCAGGGCCGAACTGCCGTCAACGTCAACGATAGACGGATCGCAATCAGGATGCGCGAGGAGCAATCTCACGATGTCGGTGTGACCATGTTCTGCTGCGCACATCAAGGCAGTGCTACCATCTTCGTCCTGGATATTAACCGCCGCTCCAGCATCTAATAGCAACTGCGTCATATCTTTACGTCCGTGCGATACTGCTAGCATCAACGCAGTTTGTCCATGCTTATTAAAAATAACAAAAGTATTTGTAAGAATATTTGAGAAAACATATATAAAAATATTTGAAAATCTGGGCTCTTCTCACTAGATTATCTTCAAGCTTTTCCAGTGTGTTTCGAGTTTATATCGAGATTTGCTCAACAAGGTCTTAGTCAAATGCATGTGTACTCAACTAATATTTAAAGTCGATTTCATCAAAAACAAAGTCTCAGGGATAAGCTATAAAAATATGTAATAAAAAATGGGGAGTTTCATTTAAAAAAACATCGACCACATTGACCTCACCTTGAAAACACTACTTAAGGTCAAATATATATATATTTTATTTACAATTTTTCTTAATAGTAGTAAAATTTTCCTTAATAGTAGTAGAATTTTTCTTACCAATTTTGCACGAATGTTGACATCAGCAAGTTGGAACAATCTATTTGCCACAGAACGATGTGTGGAATTCCTGACTTCTGCCAAAGCAGCCAACATCACAGCTGTATAACCAGCCACATTTGCCTTGTTGATGTCGCAGACCTTTGAGTCTAATAGTATAGATACTACGTCGAAATTGCCATGAGAAACTGCATAATGCATTGCCGTGTTACCGCTGGTATCTGTCATGTTGACAATGTATTCCAGCAGAGTACTGGAGCACTCTTCGAATCGGTCCAAATAATCCTCGACGTCTAATGGATTTGCGCTAGATGTACTGGATATCTTGAACCATTCTTGTTGTATGATATTAGTAGCGTTTTTAAGCTGATGAGAAATGTTTCTACTGGGCGATTTTTTGATACTGTCATTGAGCACTTTCATGGCAGCTTGCATCTCTTTTGAGGGCTCAACTTTCTTCCTAGGTTTATCTTGGATTGGTTGAAATAAAGTCGATTCCAGTAGCTCGGGCTTCTCCTCATTATCCGCCTCCTTTTCCATACTACACATCTCTTCTGATGCAATTTTTTCATGTTTGTTTTTCTCAGTTTGTAATTGCTGAATGCTAGAAAAATTTAAAAAAGACATTCTTTTATATCTATTTAAAAAAAAAGATGACACACACAAGTTATATTTATTTGATCATATAAACATTTTTTTTTTTTAATTTTTTTTGATAATCTTTTAAAACTTTTTATGTAAAAAAAATTGCTACATTTTAATTATTACTATAATGTATTAATTATTGCTATAATTCAATAATTGATATAATTAAAAGAATGTTGAAAATTAAATTAAAAACCTTATAGTTATAAAAATTATAAAGCAATACATGTAAATTATATAGTAATTAAAGCTAGTAATGTCAATATAACATCGCGAGATATTAAAAACTCAACATAGTGCTAGTCATGTCAGATTAACGATAAAAACATTAACAGCTATAAATAAAGATTAGACTACAGCGGGGAAATATATTACCCTTTCGCGGCCGGATATGATAGAATATCAGCGGCTTCGAGATCACTAAATAAAGGAAGTGTGTTGCACTGTGGCGGCGGCTGTTGCAGCATCGATCTGTCGAGATCGAGGATGTGCTCACTTGTTCAACATAGCAAGATCGTCAATGCAACGTGAGACGCGCACCGATGCAATATTTACACCGTGAGAGAACTCGATGACGCACACAGCACGCGCACGAGCACGAGCACGGACTAAAAAAAGGACAACAAACCGCCCGTCCAATGCGCTCGACCGGCACGAAATACTACGTCACACGCGGTTCTACCATTCGCAACTCTTGCCGCCCCTTTTACCAAGAAACAATCCTTAGGCCGACTTGAGTCTCTATAAATTAGCTAATCAATGCGCTTAAAAAATTTGTCGTACGACAAATGTAATATCGGCCTTACAGCAATCTTCGACCGCGGAAATAACAGATGGCGTGGACCGTAATCGAGCGGGAAGAGTGAATCGGGATTTCAAAATGATATCTTATTTCTTTACAACTTTGAGGTTTTAAAAGGGAGTTTAAAAAATGATTTGTATATGTAATATATAATTCGGAGAATAAAGATAATTTATAAATGTAAGTTCATGTATAAGCAATCCCAAAGTATGATTTTCTGCAAATAGATAGTTTCCCCTTATATGAACTAACGCGATACGATATAGCAAATTAATTAATTTACTTATTTTGTATAATTAAATATTTTTTAGGATAATATAATATATATATAATTTAAATATACGTATTTAAGGACTTTTATTTTTATCAGATTGAAAATAATTTCGTGATAAACATGTTAAATTCTTAATTTTTCACAAAGGTGTAAAAAAAATTAATAATCATAAATTACTAACCGATTGCTACTGTCGTATTGCTCCTTGTTATCCGCATCATATCTTATCATGCCAATGGCCGATATCTTCGTGTACGTATCCTGACGCCTGAACTGCTTCCTGTGATCACCGGAGGTGTTCAAGGAAATATGAGACGGTCTCGGAATCCTGGATATCATATTGCTATTCTGATGATTTAGGCTGTTCTCTGCATTGTTCGCGATCTGCTTCGCTAGACTCTTGATCGTCTCCTTGCAATTGTCGCAATAGTTAGCCGTGCAAGAGATCGAGATATGCGGCCTGACGGAGTCACCAACCGATACATCAACGAACTTCTTCTTCATTGTTGAGGTGCCGAAATCTCGGCATTTTGGCGTGAGGCCGAAAGTGTCAGTGCCTCGAGTGATAGTTTTCACCAAGTCGTCCACCGTCACCGCCACCGATTTGTTGGCTCTTGTCCTAAACCTCGTATCGCCGTAGTTGAACGAGCGACTTCTCGAGCTCATCGAGTTTAGCGACACCGGTGGCTGTGCCGCCACCGGATCGGGTCCGACACACACATTCTTGGTGGAGGGATCAAGCTTGACTTCTACTCCAATCTCCGTCACCGACGGTTTAGCGGTTATGCTCACATGCGAACGCATCTTGAATAATTCGGCTACTTGGACCGCATAATCTCGCTTTTCAAGTTTGAATGTTTCCAGAATGCATTGAACACTCTTGGAAGAAGTGTTTTTCACCAAGTTACTCCTGTAACTCCTCAAAGCGTTCTCCACAAGCAGTGTGGTATCCTCGCTCGTCAAGATATCTTTCATACTCAAGCTCGTCGTTGTACTGCAAGAACGCATCCTCATTTCTTTCTTCGCTTCCGGCGGAATGTCTTCGATCAAGAAATGACTACATTGGAGAATTCTGGGTCTTTTCTCTGTGTTGATGCCAAAGTTACGCATTTTCTTCTCGCTTTTGCGGTTGATTGAATCGTTCTGGTTAAATGGTATCGATTCTATATGAAGAGGAGCCCTCATTAGATGCCTTTTCCGCACTTCCGGCAGAATCTCTTCCAACATCAATTGACTACGAGCCAGATTGGACTTCCAACTACGGTGCTGGGAGTTGCAAAAATTCGTGAAACTCACTGGCGATTCGTCCTCCAGCACGGTGCTTTCATCTTGAATTTCAGGCATGATCTCCTCGATTCGTAGTTGGCTTTTCTGCAAAGACGGTTTGATTGGCGTGCTCGTTATCATGCCGACGTCTCTCGTTCGAACCTGTTTGCAATAAGAAAGTATTGTGCGCAATTAGTTATTAACTCGAAATGGAAAGCTATGTGTTTGATTCTCTATTCTTGACTAAAGGTTTGGGAAACGAGTCATAAGTTTTGAACCTGAGCGCATTGTCATTTCCATTTAAGTAGGCTACTGAGTCGTTAATAACATTAATGATTTTTGTCAAGTATAGTTAGAAGTCTTTATTAATTTATAAAAGAGATTTAGTTAAAGATGACCAATTGCTTCTATCGCGTTACTTGTGTATAAAATAAAATAATTATTTTTTATAGAACCATCAATAAGAAATTAGAAATATTAATATAATTTTATTTAACAAAGGAGTAAATTACATAAATAATTAAAAGATGAAAATTTAAAAACAATTAACCTACTAAAATTAATATATACATTAACCTAATTCGGTCAAAAATTCTTGAAAAAGATTTTTCCAAAAATTAGTATTAACTGATATATATCAGTTATTACATACATTGCACAAGATAATATGATATTATATTCTTATTGTATATATACCGTTAATAGTTTAAAATATTATAAATCGTTGCAGATTACCGAGCAGATTATATTGCAGATGATGTATCTGGGAAGTTTCAGAAAGAAACGCAACATGGTACTGAACAGAGGAAACATATCGTAGCTAATATTTTTATATTCTTCAATCTCAAAGCAGCTTTTTATGAATATTTTCGCGAGTATGTATGTACATACGCGCGCAGGCGCACGTAAAAATCGCTCGGCGACGAAGTGAAAAAACAACACGCGAGACGACAGGAATACACGTCAAAAATGCGTATCACCCTTTAAATCTCGATTTTCACTTCTAATTAAAGAGAAGCAACTGCAATTTACTTTGAGACGAACATAAATCGATAATCACCGAGAGATTCTTAATTAAGAAAAAAAACGAAAATTACATATGCCCTCCAACACAAAAATCCAAAAGACTAAGAAATATTCAAAAAATATTCACAATCTTAACAATATTAATAAATTTAAATTTTAAATTGATTAATTTTTTATTTTATTTTTTTATTCTGTTTTATTTTATCTATTTTAATTATTTTATTTTATTTATTTTATATTTCAATTATACATTAATTTATTAAATTAATCAACGTGACTAATATTTTTAAGGAATATGTAAACCATCTAACTTCTGAATTTGTATTTTGTACATATATATTGTATATAGCTTTAATAGATTAACGATTTGCAGGATGATTAGCAAATATATGCATTCGTGTACCTGTTGATGTGACACCCCGATGTCTCTTGTCATCACGCCACACATAGTTCCCATGTCCCTGGTATATATGATTCCAGTGTTCTTCAAGTTTCGCAGAGCGGTGGTGTGCTGTTCCGAGAACGACTGGCTACGATGCCTATGCAGGGTGTCGTTGCAAGAATTTGTTTTACTCAATTCATTTACTTGTCGCAAGAGATTACGCTTCTCTTCTTTCAATACCGAGACTTGCACCTGCGAGAGAAAAGAGAATAGATCACATGTGCATGCATGGGGTTAGATAAGCTTAGCAATAGCGTATAAGCTTTTACTGAAACTGATAAAACAGCGAGCGTGAGAAAGTATTATTCTTAATATTGTGCAGAATAATATAAAGATAGAAATGTTACATTATTTTTCGATAAATTGCAGAAATAAAATATTTGATATATCATTTTTAGGCATATTATTCTCAAGTTAGTTGTTTGCCAGTAAGTAAAATAAGAAACAAAATATTTTGTATATATTAAGTATACAAAAATATACAATAATTAAAAGAACACTAATATTTTTTAAATTACTAATCTTTTTAGAATACTAATCTTTTTTGGATAATCTTTTACATCGATCTACTTTCATTAGAATAATTGTGATGTGCAATTATAAATATAAGCTTATGTATAAATCTTTGCATTTCTTCGAAAATATATGAAAACAATTTCATTGTTTTGTATTGCATTAAGCGTGCAACGATATATCTTTATAATGGAAACAATAAGATTGCGATAAAGTAGTGAGAATATATCTTGTACTCCTTTTCCTGTTTCTCGCTAGAACGGAAGAGCTCGCTTGAGTGCAAATTACGTGTCGGGCGATGAACGAAAGAATAGGAGGGAGGAGAATATGAAATTAGTAAGAACTCACCTGCAACATGGGAATTGCCTTGACCTGTTCCTCCAGCTCTTTCATCCTTTCCAGAGACACCGCCATTTGTTCTCTGATATTCTGTGCAATGTATAAAAAAGTAGTTTATCATTACTATTATTTCTGTATTTTCAACTTTCACAAAAAATTGCACATTTCAATAAAAATTATTTACTTTTAATATCTTATTTATTTATAACAAAATTAAGATCTGCGTAAAATAAAAACTCTATTATTAATATTATTATTATTATTAACATTATAATATAAAATCTTTAATTAGTTGAATTAATTGAAGAGAATAGAAATAGAAATTTAATTCATATAATACAAGCGTTTTCAATGAAACGATGAAAAAATCAAATTATTACGCATAACTTTACGTCTGTACAGGTTTCAATTGCTCAAGTTTTAAACGTGTATTGTATATGCAGAATTTTTTTTTGTAACATGTTTCTCTTATTCGTACCTGAAGCGCACTAGTACTGAGGTTCGAGTTACCACTTCCGACGCTGGCGTTGTCGGAATCTGCCAACTGGGTCGCATTTTGCACCGATGCTGCCCCATTGATGCCATCTAGCGTAATAAAAATTATTTAACCTATCATGAAAAACTAATCACCAAATATTTTGCAAAAAGAATGTCGCTGGCGAAACGCAGTTGCGCTCAATATTAAAACATTCACTTTAATTGATTCATTCTACCCTACCGCCATCATTATTTTGAGATGAATCGTGTCCACGCGCAAAAAATATTCTTTTTTGAGAGAAGTCCAAAATTTTTGGGCTAAAAAAGATCGATATCTGGGCAACAATTGAGTCGTCGTGGACTTTTTCTACACAGAGTATCTGTTTCGGTAAATGCAGCAGTGCATTCTGTACATATTAGAGAGTATATCAGATTAGTTTTGACCATCACTTTATACGCTGGAATGTACAGGCGCCGTGTTTGTTATTTTTCTTGTGTTGGGGCAAAACCGAATACCTACACACTTCATATAATAAAGAAAGGAAAAACTGCCATTCTGACTTTGTCTCCCTACAAAAAGCAGTTGGAAATGGAGATTGCCACCCAGAAAAAAAAAACTATTAAAAAAAAGCTTTTTGAGATCCCTAAAGTTAAAAAATTAGATAAGAAAGTTCTGCAGCAATATAGAGCAAGAGGATATCTTTGTTTGTGATTTTCGTTTATAGAATACATTTTTGTATTGTATTTTGATTAAAATAAATCAAGATTTCGTAATTGCTCAGTGTTTTACATATTTTCAAATAAATACCCGATTTTATCGGCGGGACAAAACCGGATATTTTGACTTTTTCAAAAACTCCTATTATCCTTGGTAACTAATTTTTTTTTTTCAGCAACTAGTCATTTCCTCATAGTTCAACGTCCACTAAAAACTACTAATGGTCAGTAGAATTTTTTTTGCCCTTTGATTTTTTGTAGGAAGACAAATCCAGAAAAGTACTCGGTTTTACCCTATTTTCCCCTACTCTTGGAAAATCAAAATCTGAGATTTATTTATTATTGGAATTAGTCAAATAAAAGATTTTTGTGCGCGCGTATTCTTTCCCTCAAGAAATATTTAATTAGCTGATAATAATATCCTCTTTTTATAGTCTTTATAAGTTCCGTGAATAATCTTCTTTATCGTATCATTTCATCACAATAGACACAAAAAAATAGTTAAGTTTTTTTTTCATGTTATTAATGCATTCTTATGCAACACTCAATAACAGGCTATATTCACCTGTGTTCGAGATGCTTTTTCGATGCTTGCGCAACTGCATTACACAGCAGAGCGTTATCTCGAATAGAACAATGAAGAAATGAGACAAATATCGCGGCGAATTCCTTCAACAAGGTCGTGACATGTCTCATTTCGATCGCTACAATGCAAAAGTTTAGCACGAAAATCATGCTATAATCTTAATTTTAATAATACACGTATATCTTGCGATAAATTTTTTTTTAATAAGACGACAATATATTAGATTGAACGGAAAGTTCGTACCAAACTTTTTTTCCGAACTGTTTTTTGCAAACAGATGAAAACCGAAAAAACGGCACGAACTTTCCGTTCAACCCAATAGTTGTGAAGTTAATGATAAAAAAGCAGATTAAACTTCAAAGAAAAAACAAATGCTAACAAAATTATATTCTTTCATCCCATTAATTTTGAGCGGATTTTTACTTTAATAGAATTTTAATTTTGAACTTATTGTTAGTATTATATGCAAAAATATTAAAAAATGGAAAGTTTGCGATAAATTCCCCTGACACTTACTGAGAAAAAAATTACTTCTAAATTGATCAGAAAAACTTATCATTAGAATCAAGGTCATGAGGTTACTGGACCTCATATATACATTGTCATTAATGTTAAAACGCTCGAACCACACGCTACGCACGCTGAATATGTGGATTAGGCGAAATAAAAAGATTAAATGTCGATCTCCAGTACTATGAAAGTTTCACAGAAAAAAATGTGTTGCCAATCATGTGTCAATCACGAGACTACAATAAATTCATTATGAGGAAGAGAATTCGTTATGATAGAGAGAAAGAAATTAATAAAGTGACCATCCGTCTCTCTATTCCACGTGCTTAAAGTTACATATTCGTTTGTCAATTTCTATCATAATAAATAATAAATCAAAATAAAAGTTTATTTGAAAACCTGAAAAATTAAGTTCTCAAAAGAAGTAATCTATGACGACAAATTGTTTCTTTATTTTTATCCAAAAATATTTTATTTTGACCAAATGAAGTCACAAATATAAAAAAGAACAAACGTGAATAATAGAAGATATATAAATGATGCAATTTGTTCTGTCATAGTTATAGAATATTTTGACAAATCGAATTTTTTATCGTCGCGATAACGCGGTGGCAAGAGAAATAAAAATTTCCATTCCACTGACACTCCGATTTCGCAGCGTCCCTGGCACTTCCATTTTTTGTTCGTTCACGTTTCAGGCAGATGCACTTGTCGAACACGGAAAAAGGCATCGCGCGTTCCTCGCGTAACAACGTGATCGGATATAAACGTATAAAGAAAAAAAAAAAAGAAAGAGAGATAGACCGATCTCCGAGGTCGTTCGAAGCGGCTGCGGGGATATCACTCATTTGATAATGGATTCTCTTAACTTGTTTGGATTTAGATAAAGTATCTGTTAATTACTTATGTCGCCGCTAGTGACGCTAATCGAAACGATAAACAATAGCGAATATCGCCTCACCCCGGCGAATTTGCGATTGATCATCGCAAATTGCATAAAAAAATGTATAACGAAAAAAACCGTGATGCAATCGACGAGAACAGTTTTTTCATCTCTTTCGAAAATTAACGAGAGGAAAACGTTGACATTGAAGATCGACGAGTAAATGTTGTAAAATAAAAATGAAAAATTTTGCAAGAGCGAAAGATTATATATTTTCGTCTACTTCTAAAATAAACTCACGATATTTCCGCTTCGTCTTCATCTTGCAGAAAGGAATCCTCTTCATGATGAAATTCTTTACTCCCATTTTCACTGTTTATCGATTTTTAACTGTCCTGTGGATCGATTATATTCGCTCGCGCGTTTTTTTCAGAAGGGATATAATTTTCATATCAAAGCGCTTGCGTTAACTCGTTACTTTCGTGCATCCAGTTGAAGTTGTCGATTACTATTGCACCTTAGCCATTTACTAACTTCACATTGTCGCATATTTGCATGCTGGCTTTTACATCAAATTCTCTCTTTTATGTCTAATCATCGGTTGATAACATGATAATATATTCTGCGAGAAAATAAATTAAAATTAGCTATTAATATTTTTTTATTGTTTAATGCCTTTACAATATATGTGCAGATCTGTTACAATCAAATGCTCGATTATTTTTGGGGGGGCAAAATAAAATTTATTCCTTATAGCCAATGTGTAAATCATCGTATTTCTTTGTTTAGTAATTTTAAATTGCTCTGCAAATATGTATTACGTTCGATTACTCGATTCTTTATAAAATAGAAAACAATTCTCATGTAGAATTTCAAGCTAATGTTTTGCGAGCATCGAATTCAAATCATCAGCTATAATACCGGTGATTTCATTCGTGAACACAGTATCACGGATCTATGATTTGGCAATTGGAACACCGATCATCGATGTCTCGCAATTTTGCCTGATTTCCCGCGATGACAAGGCCGATTGAAGCGTTGAAGTGGGTTTCATCATTTTTGCCGAGAAAAAATACATTACACCGAAGGTGTACGTATAACTTCGAGATCAGTACGATTCTTATATATTCCTGATCTTTATATTTCGGCGGATTGACTTGTCCGGAATTGGCTCGAAAGCGATTAGAATAATCACATCGTGCTTCATAGAAAGATATATAGATAAATTCGTTTTCGGCCTGATATATGTACTCGTGATAGCCCGGTTCTCACCGCGTGACGACAGTTTGCGTTTGACTGCTGGTGATGCCGCCGAGGCACAACGAACGCTCCGGCTGTTCGCGTTAAAGGTGAACGTGGGGGAGGGAAGAGAGTCTCTCTCTCTTCCTTTTCGCGCCGGCCTTTTCTTTGTTCGATTCTGCGCCAATTTGCTAATTGCAGGAAAAAAATAACACTCGTATCTTGCGCAGCATCCGGACTCTTGTTTGCCCGCGAGAATAATCTAAATAAAAATGTTTCACACCGCTCTTTTTATTGGGAGATATCTTTATCAAATGATCTGAGAGAGAGAGAAAGAGAGAAAGAGAGAGAGAGAGAGAGAGGGGGGGAAGAGAGATCCTTTAAGAGATCAATCTTGAACGAAATAGCAATCAATTGACTAATGTTAAATCAATTTCATACTTAGAATTACAAATAATCTGAGGGAAGTTAAATTCTTAAACCAAATCATTTTTTTTTACATTTGAAATATACAGAAGAAAAAAGATGACACCAATTAAATTTTTGATGAAATCGATTTTAATTAATAGAGAAATATGTTTGTAAATTTTGCCCTAGTGATCTTACTTTGGTCACACTGTATAAATATTTGTGTTGCTGTATAATTTTGCAGATTTTTATTTACGGTTAAATTATTTTGACTGAAAAATTTCGCACTTTCGTATTTCACGAGAGAAGACGAGATTTAATTATGTTTATTCTGCTTGAAAGAAAGTTTCGGCAGAGGGGAAACGCGTAGAGTAATAGTTAATAATGCATAGGGAATTATAATGACGTACCTACCCGAAAGGATCTAATTCTGTATCTATATATCTTTTACATATGCTTGTATGCATCATTAATTAATATTGCTTGCTTGCAATTATAGAACAACAGATATTTAACCAGCGCTAAAAATTAATTGGTAAATCGTTTCTTTAATAAAGACACACTAATATTATAAAGATGTAAATATATATGTGTGTGTGTGCGCGTGCGTGCGTGCGTGCGTGCGCGTGTGTGCGTGTATTTACATCTTTATAATATTAATGTGTCTTTATTAAAGAAACATCTATATATATATATATATAATACAGATAGTTTTTGAAAGCTATCTGTATTAACAAACAGAGAAGTATGCATAATTTTTTTATTAGAGATACGCAAAACACCGTGTAATTACAAAATCTAGATTTATTTTAATCAAAATACAATATAAAGATGTATTCTATTGACAAAAATCACAAATAAAGATATCCTCTTGTTCGACATTGCTGTAGGCAATCGACTTCTTTATTTAACTTTTTAACTTTAAGGATCTCAAAAAGCTTTTTTTAATGGTTTCTTTTTTTGAGTGTTAGTTTTCGTTTCGAACTGCTTTTTGTAAGGAAACAAAGTCAGGATAACAGTTTTTCCTCTTTTCATTACATGAGATGTGTAAGTACCCGGTTTTGCCCCAACACAAGGAAAAAAACAAATACGGCGGTTGTATATTCCGGCGTACAAAGTGTCAATCAAAACTAATATGATATACTCTCTAATCTCTAATATACAGAATGCAATGCTGCACTTACCGAAACAGATGCTCTATATAGAAAAAGTGCACGACGACTCGATTCTTGCTTCGATATCGATCTTTTTGGGGTTAAAAACTTTGAACTTCTATTAAAAAAGAAATATCGTGTGCACAGGGGCACGGTTTGTTTTAAAATAATGATGGCGCCAATCTACAACTAATAACACAAGTTAGCCATAGATAGCAGCATTTATTACGAAAAAACAGGGGTACCCGGTTTGACCCGCCTACCCGGTTTGACCCAACTTTCCCCTATATATATTGGGTAAACTTTTATAAAATACAATTATATGCGTATTAGCAAAATTAATATTACCTCTTATTGCAATCATATAATAATAACTAATATTCATTAAATATCGATCATCTGACGGACATAATTTGAATGAAGTATGTACACGTACATATGTGCAATTACTTTGATTAAATAGCGTTTTTATAACGGAAAGTTGGCAAATAATCGAGTATAAATCGCCATTCACTGATAATTAATTAGGCTATTATAAATACGAACACTTACGCATCTTAACTCAATTCTAAACGTGACAAATCATAATTATTCATGATTTACGTTATGACGTACAATGTAATAATAGCACGAAAAAAAGTCTGTACTTATATTTATTTATACCGCGGAACGTCTTTTCTGCGATTACGCAGTCATCGGATTTATGCCGCTGTTGCAACGGTTTTGCGATCTTATTTTCATTCGTTCCCGATACACATGGAAATAGTGGCGCGCGTGTTTAGCTCAACAGATGCAGGCAACCATATGTGACCATCTTGCCCGGGCAAGGTTGCATCGAAATGGCTAAGAACAGTGACGGTGAAGTCACACTATGCGATTAATCGACCTAGACTAACATGATATATGCAAGAATTGCGGAGTTACGGAATTTTAATGTAATCCAGTTTTAATGTAATTAAAACTCCGTAAGAATTATTGCGAGCAACCGCGGTTATTTTGAGAAAAGCGAATTAAAACTTTGGCATTTGGTCTTTCATTTCGGTATATAACATTGGCTAACATCTACAAGGATATATGTATGTATTATTATAATATACACACACAATAATATAAACTCAAAATACACATATGCTACTATTATCTTAATCAAACGATGGCGGTTGGAAATTACTCTGGAATTTCGCATGCAATGAAATTTTTGTTGCATGAATACGATATGGAAATGCGTCTTATCTTGTTTTTAAATGTGATATATTTTTCTTGCACCAATTGATTCCTCTCATTATCTTGTGCATAAAAATATTAAGGTAAGATAATAAAAACATGAATATTTTGATAGTTTATGTAAAATTATATCAAATTAAAGTATACAATATCTCGTAAATTATTCAATTTTTGGCCATCCCATCCTTATAATTTTTTACGTCGGATATTGTGAGGAATCCATTTATGTAAACAAATTAAGGTAGTCCCATTAAAAAAAATGAAATTTTTTTAGTTTGTAGTGTGAAACCAACGCTCAAGGTTACTCAAAGCCACCATAGTATATATACTACTTGTTCTAAAATTTTAATAATGGGTGCTTTTGCTATCTCTCATCGTTTTCAAAAAAAATTAAGATGAATTTTTTGTTAGACTCATCTTGTACATACATATATATATATATATATGTATGTACAAGATGAGTCTAACAAAAAATTCATCTTAATTTTTTTTGAAAACGATGAGAGATAGCAAAAGCACCCATTATTAAAATTTTAGAACAAGTAGTATATATACTATGGTGGCTTTGAGTAACCTTGAGCGTTGGTTTCACACTACAAACTAAAAAAATTTCATTTTTTTTAATGGGACTACCTTAATTTGTTTACATAAATGGATTCCTCACAATATCCGACGTAAAAAATTATAAGGATGGGATGGCCAAAAATTGAATAATTTACGAGATATTGTATACTTTAATTTGATATAATTTTACATAAACTATCAAAATATTCATGTTTTTATTATCTTACCTTAATATTTTTATGCACAAGATAATGAGAGGAATCAATTGGTGCAAGAAAAATATATCACATTTAAAAACAAGATAAGACGCATTTCCATATCGTATTCATGCAACACAAATTTCATTGCATGCGAAATTCCAGAGTAATTTCCAACCGCCATCGTTTGATTAAGATAATAGTAGCATATGTGTATTTTGAGTTTATATTAAGAGAAAAAATGTTTTGAAATATAAACATTTTTTTTATTATAATTTAAATATTAATAAATCTTTTTATTTAAAAACATTTTAGAAAAAATTTTATTTCCTGGAAAATAAAATTTTAAAGAAAACATTTTTTTTATATACAGAATAGATGTTTTTATATATGGAAATTTTTATATATAAACTTGTTATTTCATATTTTCATATATGTGTGTATATATGCTTTTGTAAAATTTTTATATGCGAAATGACAATTTTATATATAAAAATTCTATATATAAACCTATATATTTTGTACAAGGTCAAACCAATGATACCATCTTATGTTCCCCTCAAAACCATACAATTTTTGTTCAAAACGTTTTTCTCTAAAATTCTTAGTCTTTGAAAGAAAAAGGGTGTACGTGTGGTCTAGGACACTCTGTATATCTTGGATATGCATCTCTCTTTCTCCTTACCACCCGCTCTCCCTCCCTTCTGCCCCCCTCTCTCTCTCACTCTCTCCCTCTCTCTCTCCCTCTCTCTCTCTCCCTACCTCCCTCTCACCCTCCCTCCCTCCCTCCCTTCCTCCTCTCTCTCTCTCTCTTGCTCTCCCTTTCTCTCGCCTTTCGAATTTGTATTATTTATTATTTATTGTTTTCTTTTATATAATCTTTTTTAACAATTAAAAAAATTTTCATTTTTATTTTGAAATATACAGAATTTTTCAGAAATAGGTAGCCAAACTTTAGGAGGATATTCTACTCGTACGGATAAAAAAAAGTCATATGAACGTGCATCCAGAAATACTTCGTTTCCAAATTATAAACATTTTTTATTTACAACGAACTTTGGTACGAACACTTCATTCAAGAAATTATTGATAATTTTCTTTTGCATTAATGCATATCTTGCATCGATGTCTCATGGATTGTTAAAAATCTTCAAATATTTCTGGAGTATTTTGTCACATAAAGCAACAATACGATTTTGGAGTACTTCCACAGTAGCAACAGAAGTATTGTATCATAAACGGAAGTCTTAAGATGTCCTCAACAATAAAAATCCAAGGGGTTTAAACCGGCAGAACGTGTAGTGAACGCAATTGATGAATAAAAAGACAATTTATAAGACGTCGATGCGAGAGAGGCATATTGTCTGTTGTAAATAAAAAATGTTTATGATTTGGACAAAAAACGTTTTTGGACCAACATTCATATGATTTTTTTTCATTCTTACAGTAAGTAGAATATGCTCTTAAAGTTTAGCCATCTATTTTTGAAACACATTCTATATCGTGCTATAGCAATTTTGGTTTATATACTTGCCTAATTTTTTTATCTGTATATCATTATAAACACACACACACACACGCGCGCACGCGCACATGCACACGCACACACACACATATTTAATAATCTTTTGCTTCCTCGTAGAGGA